TTACTGTAACTGTACTTAGCAAACTTTGTTGTTTGATCAGAAATAAACAATTCAACATAATATGGCAAATGTCGCCTCAGCAGTCAGCAGTGGGTCCTACAGTCATCACACGTTTCATGTCTTGAACTTCAGGACCAAAAGCCTTGTGGACAACTCATACAAAGATCGATTAAAAAAAAAATTTAAATAAAAAGCATCTGAATTTTAAAACAATCTTATTTATTTATTGAAAAAAATCATAATTTTTAACAATCTTGAATGGAAAGGTGTTGGCACTTTTCAGACCAGTGTCCATACTGACATGTAATTGCTGGTGCTCCTCTGGTGGAAACTATGCCTACATTTCAGGTGAATGGGACGTAGGAAACTACAAGTAAATGGTAAATGTACACACTTGTAAGTGGTAGTACATCATCCAGTCTGCTAGAGTAAATACCGGTATGTTAGACAGACCAATTAAGCTTTGGTATTTACATGTACATGTACATCAGAGATAGCACTGCACAAAGTAACCTCAACAGTCAACACTTACTAATAAAATACTGTAATCTTACTCTTCAAGGGCAAGCACTTCATTTTATTTCTTTAATATTTAGGGGTGTTTTGAAGCACTGCAACTTTTGTCCTGGCAGTTGGTGAATGACAGATGTACTTGGTAGAATGAATTACATTACGATGTCACATGTTCATAGTAGAAAACAAATCAGGTAAGACTCAAGACTTTAAACATGTGCATGTGGCCAGGACCTCTGTTGAGCTGGATATCCGCCTTTCAAAGATCACCTGTTCATGTACATGTACCTATATAAATTGATTGAAAACACAGACTTGTATATACATTTCTATTGGAAGTTGTGCAAGTTTTTCTCTTCAGTAGTCAAGTATCCTGGTGAAATATGGTCAAGTCATGGCTAGTCATTTCATTCAAATATTACAGCCATCTCGCATGAAAGCCTTCAGATGCATATTTCGTGCAGGTTCAACATGTTACTGAGCATGTGAGTGGGCTCGTGGAGTTGTGTGGGTTTGAATGGTTTCAAATTTATCAGAGATCAGCATACAGGAGTGCTGCCATCTGTCATACAGTATTAGTTTTGGTTGTTGCGTGGGCAATTCAGTGCTGACAACATCTACCGTACATGTACATTACGCCCACCAGAAAATACCTTGCTCTGTGATGCATGTACATGTACATTGTATGGCGGTGCACAGTCACGTGTTGTGCCTTTCTTTCCTGAGCTAATTTATGAATTAAAAGGCAAAGTTTCAATGATTAGGCCTGTAATAAATGTTGAAACCACATCAACTAACATAAAACTAAAACACACAAACCAAACTAAAAATTTGGTTCCTCAAAACATCCTGCAGTGAATTTTAAATTGACTCCAGTTATTGCTGTATGTCATGACAAAGGACTTCACACTGTGCACCTGCATTTGGCCCTCTAAGTTTGCTTCCCAATTGCTGACAGTCCTGGATCCGCCACTTTTAAGGGGGAAGAGACAAGTACAGTATATATGTGCCATAGCACTCAGCTACAGTATAAATGAGTCTAGGCAACTACTACATATGAACATGTATGTGTCTGTCATTGGAGATGTTTATTTTGTATGTTCTTTCTTTTGAAAAAACATTTTAATGTTGTTGTTGTCAAGCATGTTTTGGCATCATCAGTGAGCAGATGTGTCGTGTGTCTAGCTACACCCTCATCTTTAATGCTGACATTTATTTCTGTCAAGATCTTTAGATCAGATAACAGTGTTCTTCCTATTTGCACACAGCGTACAATGTACAATCCAGCTTCTGACACCTTCTCTTGTGCTTGTCTAAAGCCACCGTGCTCAGCAACTTGAGTGTCTCTCAAGCCTTCCTTGTAATCCAATACATTGTTTTTCCACTGAGAAACATTTTCTTATGCACACATCTTGAGTACGTTTTCCTGGTTACTGCTCAAGCTTCAGGAGAGTCCGTGTTTGTAGAGAGAATTGGGGATACTGCTGTGCTTTAGAAAGGTCTCCGAAGAGGCAGTCTAGCATCCGGGGAGGATAGAAAGGGAGCACTGACACACTCTTAACCCAGCGCCCCGGACAAAAACTCATCATACATGACAATGTAAGCTTGCTCATGCAGGTACGTGTAGAGCGTCTGACCTGAGAAAGACATTTGGAAAAGTAGGAATGGTACAGAGTACAGAAGTGAAGAACCGATAGTTTGCTGTGAAGCAGGGACACAAGGAAGCCAATGTTTGT